AAGGTGCTCTCAGTAAGGTATTTTTTCTCTTATTTTACCTTTGAAGTTATTTCCTGCTTTCTTCTCCTGCGAAAAGTTTGTGAATGGTTTGCTGTTGCTACTTACTTTATTTTCTCGTGTCGTCACATAAGTGCTTATTAACCTTACAGTAGTAAGTCAAAAGACTGCTCAAGTGCATATTAAATTTGGTGACGTCGTGTTGAAGCAAACAATTTGTGCACTTTTTTGCGATACATTACACTGCTATAGAAATCAGAAATCCTAAAGTTAATGGCTTTAAAAATGTTCAGGCTTTAAATGAGTTGGGAAAAGACACCGTAAAAGTTATAGAGGATTTATTTCTGGTACGGCTTCTTATTCTGCTGGGTAAAAAGTTGTTCATCATCTTTTTCGACTGATAAAAACAATGGAATTTGCTTCTGTTATTGTTTACTGTTTGAGCAGCGCTTATTTTTACAAACAACGAGTAAGATAATAAATTTTGTAGTACAACTTGTATTAAATTTGTTTGTTGAAAATGTAAATGTTCATGGCGAAAACAGCATATAACCTTTCTCACTTTCGTTTTTATTTTTTAGTTTTTTTTTTTTGGTAATGTAGACTTTTTTTTTTAAAAAATATTTTTTTTAACTTGAAAGGAAAGAAATAAATTTTTTATAAGCATTTTCTATCGTGCTGATCGGCATGAATCTTCAAAGGAAACTTCTGTTTCATAGCAGTACAACTACTGGTGCGTTATATATAGACCATTAAAACAAAGTTGTAAGAAAAAGTTAGAGGTAATTTAAAACGCTTCAAATGTCGAGTTGAAAAAAAAAAATAGAAAATTAATTTTTTAATTAAACGAGACATTGAAGCCTAGAGCAATGAGTAGTAAAGACAAGAAAAGCAGTTGATGTTTCAACTGCCTTTTTCTACGGCCCGATGAGGTGGTGTTTGAAAATCATGTTTGATTAAGCAAACCTATTTTGAATGTTTCATATGAAGTGGTTATAAACCAGACGTAGTAACATAATTCTACCGACATCTAATTTTTATCTGTTTGTAAGCATTACAAGAAAATTGATTTTCTGATGATTCTAAGAAATTCGGCAACTTTCTCAGCTACCTTCTTTCAGATACTCTTTAATTTCAGCTGAAATCTTGATGAAAAAAATAAATTAAACTGATTGTCAGTCAGAAAATGATAAAAATATCAATTAAAAATAAACGCTGTTCCAAAAAATTTGATTTTTTTTGTTTTTATTTATTTTTTTTTCGTAATATACATTGCACAACTTTTTTACTTAAACTTTAAATCTAACAAAAAATTCTAAAACTGTTTAGTTCTGAATACTATTAAAATACAGTCACTGAGAAGCAAATGAGTGTATAGCAGGTTTAGTTTAACTAAATTTTGATAACGGAAACTGAGTAATACTTGTTAGTAATACACTATTTGATTTGTGGTTGAAAAATATTAAACTTTTATTCAAATTTATTTATTTTTTTTACTTTTCTGCTTGTCTACATACAAATATAATTCAGGTTGTTAAAATTTCTGCAGTATATTCATTGGTAAAGAAAAATCTGTGGAACTACAAATACAGTTTTATAAAGTTCCTTTTATTAGACCTAAAAATTCATCAATCGTAATTTTTCCATCTCCATCAATATCTGCCATCTTAAATATCGCTTCGGCGATCTCCCTTGTACCGCCAGTAACAATCTGGGATATCCTGATCAGTTCGTCTACAAACGATTTCAAGTTAAATGTGGGTAAAAAATCTATTCAGAAAAAAATTAAAGAAATTAAAAAACATCTTTGACAAAATTTAAAGAATTACTGCTATTAGCTCAGATATGACGTTTTAATTATCAGTATATTTAGAAACTGCAGTTTTTATGAGTAGGTAAACTTGTTTTTGCATGACATTTGACAGTCCTGATTACTGCGATAATTGATGCGATTAAATTTCAAATGGTGAAAAAAATTGGCTTATGATATTTAGGTCTCAATTTAAAACCGCATATTTTTCTTACCTAATGTTATAGCTCCATCACCATCCAAATCAAAAGTCTGGAACATTTCTTCAATTTTGAAAACTTCTGGTGGTGGTTTTGTTTCATGACTGCTCACATAAGACAAGATGTCTTGCACTGTAAATCCTTCAATGCCTGAAAATCAGCAACATTAGATGGTGTAACAGCTTGAAAGTGACTTCCTTCACCAATTTCTTCAAACAGTTTCCAGAAAACTTAACAAATGCTTTTAAAATACTCCGGTAAAAACCGGTAACAGGCATTATTTCTTATCATTCACCAGCAAATGTGTAATATTTAAGATTGACAGTAAAATTTTGGTTATGAAGCAGATTAAACTGAAAACAAAAAAGAATAAAGCCGAGAGAAAAAAATAGACCTCTAATTATTGAAACTAATTAAAAAGTTTTGATGCTTTTATCATTAGAATTTTGATTCAAACCACTAAACACTTTTAAACTTCACATTCTGTTTTTAAGTTTAATAAACTAGCATTATCAAAGCGTTTCATATGCCATTAAAAAATGACAACTTCGATAAGCTCTGTCTACCTTATATTCGTTTTTCTTTTGCTATAAATTTATTATAGCTTTACTGTTGCAGCTGAATAGCCAGATTTGTTTAAAAAACCCGTGTTATGTTAATATTTTTTGAGAACTCTTAGTAAAAAAA